AGACTTTTTATTTTTCCCATCTGTTGTAGAAAGTTTCCAGGTTTTCTATGAAAGCAGCTTTGATGTTGTCCTCTTTTAATACCCTTGTGATTTTAGTCCACAGATTTTCCTCATTTGGGCATCCCCAAAAACACTTCTCTGTTTTAATACTGCTTGTAGCTAGTTCTTGAATATCTGCACAAGGAGCGTGACACCAATTTCCACAAAAGTGACAATTTATCCATGTGGAAGCCTGTTTGTTTGACTGACCACAGACTCACAAAAGCTTATAATGATTTGAAGGGTTGATTTACTGCAATTCTACTAGCAACCTCTTGAATATTCTATTAATGACCTTAAATGAAGCTCTAGCTATTTGTATTTCTGTTTCTAACTGTTTTTGTATATTGGACAGCTTCCCGTCACGTTCCTGATTTTTAATGTTTGTGTTTATAAGGGCGCCTAAAACCCCCATCCATTTACAGTCTGCTTTATTGTCCAACGAAACCTTTTTTGAAACCAGTCCCAGGTTCGGACCAGTCAAGGGTTCGGACCAGTCGATCTGATCTGATCAGTGGGTCACTTATTTAAAACATACTGGTCGGTGATTTGAGCTAACACATGAAGGATCTACTGGAAATTATCTACCCGAGTAAAAATGTGATTTGACTGATACAAAAGTATAACTTGCGTGTTGAAGAGCCGGTGATATCTGGCAGCTCCTACAGTGACGAACGGTCGACCTCACCCTTGTTTATAAATCGCTGTATCTAGCTTTTCTATTTTTTTTTCCGTCTCCACCACAATAAATGTATATTATCACTATAGTTGATGGTGCAAATTTTGGAGGAAGGACGCTTTTTCTGTAGTAATAATTGCTTCTCGTTGTGTATATTGCGACCCCTGGTAACTACAGGTTAATGAAATTCACAGTATAGTCTGGTATTTCAAGAAAAGAAACTAATGAAAGTCACTCCACTCCACTAAGTACCACTATAATACTGGTTGTTGCTACTACAACACTGTATTCTGCTAATCACTGGTATCACTAGATTATATGCGAGTACACTAGCAGGCCCGGAAGATTATTAAAACAGCTGACCTGTGGTAAGTTTCTGGCGACTTCTGGCACCTGCCTTATAGGCTTATCCTTCATTTACAAATTCACCTGTTTTCAAATGACACTTTAAACCTTTTCATCAATATCTAGGGAGCCACTGTAGTATACACTATACACTATGTATACTCAATGTTATCAGGGAGACTTTCTTTCCTCTGACACGAAAAGTTCAATTATTATTATTTTTTCCACACGGGACACAGGCCTATGATTCCCCTCTGGCAGTAAACTCTGCTAGGTAGTGCACACTAATTCTCCTTTTTTGACTCAGTATATAATGTTTTCCGCCCAAGATTGGTTCCAGGCGCTAGAGGGATGTATCGTATAGGATTGATGACACAAATTAAAGTTTTAGCACGTAAGAGCGACCGTGAAAACACGAGATAACCCGGAGCACAACGAGGCACGCTGACACTAGCAGTGTCCACAAATTCAGCATTTTATTTAAAAAAAAAAAAGTCAGTTTTTTTTTCTCATTATGCACTGCGTGCTGCAGGAATTTTTTAGTATGGTGCACACTGACCACACAGACCCATTCTCTCACATGTGGGTACCAGCTTTCTCCTGCTTGATTTGAAGCCGCTAAAATTTATGAGTATATATACGTCAAAAACGGTGGCTCATAAAATGTATATTTTTTTTTTTTTTTTCAACAAGTCGGCCGTCTCCCACCGAGGCAGGGTGACCCAAAAAAGAAAGAAAATCCCCAAAAAGAAAATACTTTCATCATCATTCAACACTTTCACCACACTCGCACATTATCACTGTTTTTGCAGAGGTGCTCAGAATACAACAGTCTAGAAGCATACACATATAAAGATACACAACATATCCCTCCAAACTGCCAATATCCCAAACCCCTCCTTTAAAGTGCAGGCATTGTACTTCCCATTTCCAGGACTCAAGTCCGACTATATGAAAATAACCGGTTTTCCATGAATCCCTTCACTAAATATTACCCTGCTCACACTCAACAGATCGTCAGGTCCCAAGTACCATTCGTCTCCTATTCACTCCTATCTAACACGCTCACGCATGCTTGCTGGAAGTCCAAGCCCTTACCCACAAAACCTCCTTTACCCCTCTCTCCAACCCTTTCGAGGACGAACCCTACCCCGCCTTCCTTCCCCTATAGATTTATATGCTTTCCATGTCATTCTACTTGATCCATTCTCTCTAAATGACCAAACCACCTCAACAACCCCTCTTCTGCCCTCTGACTAATACTTTTATTAACTCCACACCTTTCCTAATTTCCCAACTCCGAATTTTCTGCATAATATTTACACCACACACTTGCCATTAAACAGGACATCTCCACTGCCTCCAACCGTCTCCTCGCTGCTGCATTACCACCCAGCTTCACACCCATATAAGAGTGTTGGTACTACTATACTATTCATACATTCCCTTCTTTGCCTCCTAGATACGTTTTTTGACTCCACATATACCTCAACGCACCCACTCACCTTTTTCCCTCATCAATTCTATGATTAACCTCATCCTTCATAAATCCATCCGCCGACACGTCAACTCCCAAGTATCTGAAAACATTCACTTCTTCCATACTACTCCTCCCCAATTTGATATCCAATTTTTCTTTATCTAACATTTTGGCACCCTCATCACCTTACTCTTTTCTAAGTTCACTTTCAACTTTCTACCTTACACACATTCCCAAACTCATCCACTAACCTTTGCAATTTTTCTTTAGAATCTCCCATAAGCACAGTATCATCAGCAAAAAGTAACTGTGTCAATTCCCATTTTGAATTTGATTCCCATAATTTAATCCCACCCCTCTCCCAAACACCCTAGCATTTACTTCCTTTACAACCCCATCTATAAATATATTAAACAACCATGGTAACATTACACATCCCTGTCTAAGACCTACTTTTACGGGAAGTAGTCTCCCTCTCTTCTACACACCCTAACCTGAGCCTCATCTATCCTCATAAAAACTCTTTACAGCATTTAATAACTTACCACCTATTCCATATACTTGCAACATCTGCCACATTGCTCCTCTATCCACTCTATCATATGCCTTTTCTAAATCCATAATATGCAATAAAAACTTCCCTATCTTTATCTAATACTGTTCACTTATATAGCTTCAATGTAAACACCTGATCTACACATCCCCTACCCACTCTAAAACTCCTTGCTCATCCGCAATCCTACATTCTGTCTTACCTCTAATTCTTTCAATTATAACCCTACCGTACACTTTCCTGGTATACTCTCAGTAAGCTTATTCCTCTATAATTTTTACAGTCTCTTTTGTCCCCTTTCCCTTTATATAAGGGACTATACATGCTCTCTGCCAATCCCTAGGTACCTTCCCCTCATTTCATACATTTATTAAACAAAAGTACCAACCACTCCAACACTATATCCCCCCCTGCTTTTAACATTTCTGTCATGATCCCATCAGTTCCAGCTGCTTTACCCCCTTTCATTTACGTAATGCCTCACGTACCTCCCCCACACTTACATTCTGCTCTTCTTCACTCCTAAAAGATGGTATACCTCCCTGACCAGTGCATGAAATTACTGCCTCTGTTTCTTCCTTAACATTTAAAAGTTCCTCAAAATATTCTCGCCATCTACCCAATACCTCCATCTCCCCATCTACTAACTCCCCTACTCTGTTTTTAACTGACAAATCCATATTTTCCCTAGGCTTTCTTAACTTGTTTAACTCACTCCAAAATTTTTTCTTATTTTCATTAAAATTTCTTGACAGTGCCTCTCCCACTCTATCATCTGCTCTCCTTTTGCACTCTCTCACCACTCTCTTTACCTTTCTTTTACTCTCCATAAGATGTATATATACGACCAAAACAGTCAAAGGGTTAATCCAAGTAATCTGTAAGCCTTATTGCACACACTTAGGCACTGTTCTGGCTTCAGATTTCTGCTTACCATGAGTCAAGCGTTTCTCACATTTTCAAGCTCTACATCACCTAGTTTATAACGATGAGGGTTAAGGGTTATTATAATTTCCAAGGATTAGGACTTTACATTTGTCCACACTGAATTGCCTCTGCCACTTTTCAGATCACAACATTAACTTTTTCAAATCCTCCTGAAGTTCATTCGTGTCCTTCTCAGAATCTATTATTAGGCCTCTTTTTGAGTAATCATCAAATTTACTTATGTCACTCGTTATTCCTGACATACGTAAATTCACTAACAAAAACACTGGACCAAAGGGGTGCAGGCCTATTAACCACACTTCAACTCTTTAAAGGAAAACGTCAGAGAAGCATCCACACACCAAACAAATGAAGCTGAATTCTCTGTTCCTCATTCTTTATCTCCCACACCAACAAGTAGGACTGAACCATCAATGTCTCCACCATCTACATCTCCCATACCATCTACCTCCCCCACACCATCTACAATGTTAATGGTGGAGATTTACAGCTCCTTTCATAATCTGTGAATCCAACTGTAAACTCTTCCAGCCACCAGAAAAATTAAGAAAAATTACTGTGCTCTACTGTACTTTTCACTCTTATTTTCAGGTACTGTGCTGTATTGTAATGTTGAAGTTTATTTTCAGTGCATACAGTAGTGACATCAATGCAGCAGACAAAACTGCTACAAAGGACATTAGTCCATGTCCAGTAGTCCACTGCAACAATCACTTAAATATGATGGACTTTGTTAAAGTGGCAACCTCCTCCCTGATATTAGTCCATTACACTATGGTTTCACTTTCTTATCTCCATTTCATGAATGTCAAAGACTTTTCTGAGCTATTATGAAGAATTTGCTCATAACACTCAAGTATCCACAAAGCTTCCCAAAGCTTGTGAAATGAGCAACCAGGAAAAATAATTGCCAATCTCATCAAAAAACATTTTGAAAATTAAGGTAGAAACTATACCTTGTTTATGTAGGTTTCAAGCAAAGGTGACAATGAGCTTGCCTCTGTCACAGCTTGTGCCCTCAGTATGCATCTATAGCTCAATGCTTCTCCAAGAAGACTTGCAGGTATTTCCCGTATCTGAAACAACAGGAAATGTTTACTAATGAGAGGAACACAAGTAGGGCATCCTATAAGAACAAGGTTTGATCTGTGGTGTTCGTAACAAAGCTCATTTAAATGCAAATTATATTACACTAAATAAAACATTTAATAATTAAAGTAAAAGTACATCTTAGACATGCATGATGTCACCTTGGTTATTTAATATCCAGACTCAAGCTAGGGTGTGCAGGAGAGAGGGAGACTACTTTCCAGTAAAAGTAGGCCTTAGACAGTTAGTTTAATATCTTCATTATGCACCCCATACCCATCCTGTGGGCAATAGTCAAGAGTATAGAGGTACATAATGGGTCCAAGGACTGAACCCTGAAGTTTTGACAGCTGAGCAAGTTACAAAGGTAATGAATTCCTGGTATATCTGGTCACAGTCATGACAAGTTAGTTAGTTTAATAGTTTAATATCTATTATGCACCCTATACCCATCCTGTGGGCAGTAGTCAAGATTACAAAGGTACATAATGGATCCAGGGACTGGACTCCAAAGTTATGACAGCTGAACTAGTTACAAAGGTAGTGAACTCCAGGTAGATCTGGTCACAATCATGGCAAGTTACAAAGGTAATGAATCAGCCTCACTCCTATACATGGTTACAGTCATGAGCAAATTACTAAGTAATGAGCCACTGATACGTCCACACCTGGTCACAATTGTAACGAGTTATAAATACAAATACTAAGTGGGTCATACACCTACACGAGCGCACGCACACACACACACACGAGGGCGCACGCACACACACATGCACATGAGCGTACAAATATATGCATACACACAAGCACGCACACCCCCCCCCACACACACACACACACGTGCACACACACACACGCACACACACATACACACACACACACACACACACACACACACGGGGCCAGGAGCTCGGACTCGACCCCCGCAACTAGGTGAGTACACACACACACACACGTACACACACACACACACACCCCCACACACACACACACACACACCCACACACACACACCCACACACACACACCCCACACACACACACACACACACACACACACACACACCACACACACACACACACCCCCACCCACACACCACCCACACACACCACCCCACACACCACCCACACACACACCCCCACCACCCACCCACACACACCACACCACACACACACACCACCCACACACCCACCACACACACACACCCACCCAACCCACCCACACACACACCCACACACACACACCCACACACACACACCCCCACACACACACCCACACACACACACCCACACACACACACCCACCCCCACACACACCCACACACACACACACCCACACACACACACCCACACACACACACCCACACACACACACCCACACACACACACCCACACACAAAACACCCACACACACCACACCCACACACACACACCCACACACACACCCCCACACACACACACCCACCCCCAACACCACACACCCACACCACACACCACACCCACACACACACACACCCCCCACCCCACACACACACCCACACACACACAGTGCTTAGAAGAGAAACTGCAAAGCCTGAAACAGATTAGAGACAAATGACAATTCAGAGGTGACATCAGGAAATTCAAAGTCAGGCGCAGACAAGGGGATGGTAAGCAACAACGGAGACATGCCGTACACGAAGGCCCTATCAGACCCACGTGGGGCCAGGGAAAAGACGATGAGCACACTAAGATCAAACGACAGGTCCGAAGACAATGAAGGTATGCTATATGCAGAGATTCTAACAGCCAACTGCAGTAGCAAGGGACAGCTGGTCAGGAAAGACAGTTCACTGAGCATAGAAGTTTCAGATATGACAGGGACTGAAGGCAAGAACATGTCAATGGAAAGAAATAAAATGCCTCAGAGGAAGCAGATGGAGACTCAGTGGGAGGAGGAAAGGGCGAGGTCATTGTTTTTGTGTACGGGCTCCAAGAAGCCAAGGGGGCCAACTTTGAAGAAATAAAACAAGGAGGAGAAAAAAAAAGATTGAAGGCATCATGAAAACAATAGGGGAGGGCAATATGACCCAGGTGACAAATTTTCAGAGAATTGGGTGGTTTGCGAGTGGAAGGATAAGGCCTGTCAGAGTAACTTTCAAGGAAGAATCAGTTCGAATCAGGATTCTGCAAGAGAAAGCAAGACTGAGGGACAAAGAGGGGTACCAGAGAGTATACCTCGACCGCGACAGAACACAAGAAAAAGGACTACACTGAAAGAGAGGGTACAGAGACGCAAGGAGGAACGAGAAGCAATGAAAATGAGCAGGACCCAGACACAGGAGGAAGGGCAAACACACCCCACAGAATCTCCCACCAAAAGACTCCACCCGCGACACTCCCAACGCAACTGAGCAACCTATACTACAACCCACTCACTGTTCCCTCTGCCACCAACCCCCATATCACAAACCTCACCCCAACAGCTGTCCCTTATGGGCATTCTGACCCACCCCCATCAACACAAACCCCACCTACACCACAGCCCCATATAGGCCCCCACAAAGGCTCTCGCTCCCCAACCCCAATATACTTGCATGACCACAATGATAGAAAAGAAACTAAAGGTTTGGTACACAAAACGCAGATGGAATAACGAATAAACATGAGGAGTGGAATGAAAGAATCAGTGAAGAATCCCAGACATCATAGCAGTCACAGAAACAAAACTCGCTGAGACAATAAAGACACAATCTTCCCAACAGGATATCAGATCCTGAGGAAAGATAGAAGGAGTAGAGGGGGAGGAGGGGTTGCATGCTCATAAAACACCGATGGGGATTTGAGGAATGGAAGGCATGGACATGATTGGAGAAAGAGACTACATTGTAGGTACAATTCAGTCTGGAGAACATAAAGTAGTCTTGGAGTGATGTATAACCCACCACAGAACTGCAGGAGGCCAAGAGAGGAGTACGAAGAAAACAACAGGGTGATGGTGGGACACACTGGCTGAGGTGGCAAGAAGAGCTCACTCGAGCAGAGCAAAGTTACTGGTAATGGGCGATTTCAACCACAGGGAGATCGACTGGGAAAACCTGGAGCCACATGGGGGTCCCGAAACATGGAGAGCCAAGATGATGGATGTGGTACTTGAAAACCTCATGCATCAACATGTCAGGGACACAACCAGAGAGAGAGGGGAGGATGAGCCAGCAAGACTGGATCTTGTGTTCACCCTGAGCAGTTCAGACATTGAGGACATCACTTACGAGAGGCCCTTGGAGCTAGCGATCATGTGGTTCTGAGTTTTGACTATATAGTAGAGTTACAAGTGGAGAAGGTAACAGGAACTGAAGGGACAGGCCAAACTATAAAGGGGGGGACTACACAGGTATGAGAAACTTCCTGCAGGAGGTTCAGTGGGACAGAGAAATGGTAGGAAAATCAGTAAACGAGATGATGGAATATGTGGCAACAAAGTGCAAGGAGGCAGAGGAAAGTTTTGTTCCCAAGGGAAACAGAAATAATAGGAAGACCAAAACGAGTCCTTGGTTTACCCGAAGGTGTAGGGAGGCAAAAACTAAGTGCAACAGAGAATGGAAAAGGTACAGGAGGCATAGGACCCAGGAAAACAAGGAGATTAGTAGAAGAGCCAGAAACGAGTATGCACATTAGGAGGAAGACAACAGTCAAGGACCAGGTGATAAGGCTGAGGAAAGAAGGTGGAGAACTCACAAGAAACGATCAAGAGGTATGTGAGGAGCTCAACACGAGATTTAAGGAAGTATTTACAGTAGAGACAGGAAGGACTCTGGGGGGACAGACCAGATGGGGACACCAGCAAGGAATACACCAACAAGTGTTGGACGACATACATACAGATGAGGAGGAGGTGAAGAAACTGCTAAGGGACATCGATACCTCAAAGGCAATGGGACCGGACAACATCTCTCCGTGGGTCCTTAGAGAGGGAGCAGATATGTTGTGCATGCCACTTACCACAATCTTCAACCATCCCAGGAAACTGGGCAACTACCTGAGGTATGGAAGATGGCAAATGTAGTTCCCATTTTCAAAAAAGGAGACAGAAAAAGAGGCACAAAAACTATAGACCTGTGTCATTGACGTGTATAGTATGCAAAATTATGGAGAAGATTATCAGGAGGAGAGTGGTGGAGCACCTGGAATGGAACAGGAGTATAAATGCCAACCAGCAGGGATTCACGGAAGGCAAATCCTGTGTCACAAACCTTCTGGAGTTTTATGATAAAATAACAGAAGTAAGACAAGAGAGAGAGGGGTGGGTTGATTGCATCTTCTTGGACTGCAGAAGGCCTTTGACACAGTTCCTCACAAGAGATTAGTGCAGAAGCTAGAGCATCAGGCGCATATAACAGGAAGGGCACTGAAAAGGATCAGAGAATCCCTGAAAGGGGGGGCAAAACGATTTCTGGTACGTAATGTTGTATCCAGGGGCACTGTAAACGGCGGGGTCCCACAGGGGTCGGTCCGGGACCAGTGCTTTTTTTTGGAAATTATGTGAACGACAGTGGGAAAAGGGGTTTGACTCAGAATTTGTCCCTTTTTGCAGTGGGGTAAAGTTTTTGGGGGAAAATTTAAAAATTGATGGGGGACCGGCAGGACTTAAAAGGACCGGGCAGACGGAAACCCCTGGCCCGCAAATGGCTTCTAAATTTTTAAATTCCTGCCAAATGCAAAGTCATAAAAGATAGGGGAAGGGCACAAAAAGCCAGACGAGTATGGGCTAGGGGGCCCAAAGGGCTGCAAACCTCATCAAGGGGGAAAGATTTTTGGGGTGAGTATAACCCCAAAGTGTCTCGGGGGAACAATCAATCGATAACTGCTCCCGAATATGGGCGCCTGGAAACCCTGAGAACACCCATTCCGATACCTTGAAAGGAATATTAAAGACACTGTACCCCGAGTATTTTCGGGGCCATATGGAGTATGCAGCACCTGTTTGGAACCCGACTTTATAAAAACACC